GGGTCGCGGGGACCCCGGCTGCGCGTGGGGCGAGGGTCCCGAGGCCCCGGCCCTCCATTCTCCTCATCGGAAAGAGACGCACCGTCCTGCTCGCCGCTCGCCCTTCCTAGGCCGGGGATCCCTAAACTTGGCGATCCTTCCCGGTGTTCGCACACCCAGCCCCTCCCCGGGTCCCACCGTTATCCACCCTCGCACGGCCTTTTCTCCGAGTCCAGTGCGCGCGGGCTTTTTGTTTTGTTTGTTTGCGGCGCTGGGGATGGAGCTGGGGCCTCGCGCATGCCCGCCAGCGCTCCACCCGGAGCTGTGGTAACCCCCGTTTGTGGACTTTTCACTTGAAAGTTAAGCAGAGAATAACCACCCGGCTCTAAGGTGAAGGGGGAAAATGTCCTGTGCCCCTCCTCTTCCCTCCCAAGCAGGATGTCTCTTTCCTTTTCCGTGGTTTTTACTGGTGCATCATAGTTGCACGAAGTGACGGCATTTGTTGTGAGATATTATGCGTGCACCCAGTTTAGCCTGAAGCAGGTTAACCTGACTTCGAATTGAGGTCACTCTAGGAAACGTTACAGGTGATGTGGCCCAGCTCACCCTCCTGTTTTTCCCCCGTTTCTGGGTTTTTTGAACTGTCTCTCGGATAGACCCAGGATCCTCGCAGCCATGTCTCTTGGGATGCTTGGCGAATGCCAGCTCCTTCCACAGCCAGTGTGAGGTGCGGGGTGTGGGGCCCCTCAGAGGAGCAGCTGGAGGTCTGAGGCCGGGAGCAGCCTTCCTCATCTAAATAGCTAACTGCTTGGGACAGTCAACTTTTCTTTCTTCCCAGTCCTAGGTTCCATTCCTTAGAGAACCAGTGGTGATCAGCCAGTTTGCTGGTATTGAGGCGACAGGACAGAAATTTTTCCTGCCCTTTGGGATACCTTAGGATGGTGAAGGGAGAAAAACTGCCTCAAGAGATCAAGGAAAGCCCACCCCAGGGAGGTGGTGCAAGAACCTGAAAAGAATGCACTTTGGGCACTCCAGGGCAGGTCTCTCGGCAGGGTGAACATGGAGCATTTCAGTGGTATCCCCCTTTTTCTTGGGGGTTGTTATTTTCCATATCCTTCACGTACACTTGTGCTTTATTGCTCTGATATAAATTATTTATATGCATCCATCTCTCATCCATTAAAATGCTGAGTTGGGGTGATTTTGCTGGATTCTTCAAACAGTGTCCTCCTAGACCCCCTTCTTAAAGTGAGTGAGTAGCCTTGGCTGGGAATCAGAGGTCCAGGGTCAATTGCAAACTTATAATGTGAAGTCATTGGTTCTTATTGGGTGTTTCAGACTGCCCATACCCGCCACTGGGACTTATTTATATTCTGGGAGCTTTCTAAAAATATTAAATATGAATCTATATATAAAACAATTACATAGTGAATAGAAGCATCAAAAGAGAACAGCTGTGGGGCACTGTGGTGCATGCCTGTAATTCCAGTGATTCAGGAGGCTGAGGCAGGATGATTGAAAGTTCATGGCTAGCCTCAGCAACCCAGCAAGACCCTGTCTCAAAAAATAAATAAATAAATAAAAAGGGCCAGGGATGTGTCTCAGTGGTAGAGTATCCCTGGGTTCAGTCTCCAGTTAACCCCCCACCCCAATCACCACCAAAAAGGGAACATCTGTGTAATTGCAGCCATATTGAGACTTGGAAAATGCCTTCACACCACATGCCCACTTGGAATGACTCCTAAAGGCTGCATCATCTCATCTCTCTCTAGATGGAGCCAGTCTTTTAAATTCTTAGATAATCTCCTTGTTTATCTTGCCGGTTTTATAACCTGTGTATGCATTTCTTTTTCAATATCTTATTTTTGCATATTTAATGCAAATTATAATATCCTCTGTATAATAG